TCTCACTTTCAGTATCAAAATTGTTCTCAGTTTCTTTTAAAAGGAGAAAATTTCGAGTACGTGGCCTGAGTAGACGACCAAAATCAGCAGAAAAGTGGTGGCATCACGTTTTCGGTTGAATTATTGTATTTTTGAAATTTATGTTGTGGTTTGTGAAAGAGAGAATAAGGCTCGGAAGAGAGCATTTAAATGAATGTTACCCTTTTAATTAGATTCGGTCCTGCACTTTCTGCAAATACGATGTAGGTATGTTTTGTTTTATATGTAAGTAAATGTATTTTATTTTGTCTTAAATTTCGTAAAAGTTTATTAATGATTTTTTTGATGTACGTCTCCATTTTTTCGATAAACGTTTGAGTAGAGTAAAATATAACTTCGAAGTTGTATAACGTTTATTATAATTTTCTTATGGCTATCGATTTCGGCAACATTGCCATGATGATGGCAATGTTGCCGAAATCGATAGCCATAAGAAAATTATAATAAACGTTATACAACTTCGAAGTTATATTTTACTTTATTAATGATTATTAAAAAATATTTATTTTGTCTGATATGGGTGCAAAATCCTTTAGGGCTTAGGGCATTGTTGACCTTTAATACGCCACGCAAAGTCACAAAAATACTCTTTCGTCCTCTGTTATGTGATCAGATAAACCTAAGAACACTATTTCAGAAACAGTTGTTGTTTTCCAATGTATATACGAAATATTTATAGAATAGTCTGACCACCCCAAAGATTGATTAGTAAACAGGGTGCTGTGTTTAAAATAAAAAAGTTATAATAATAATAATAATAGCCATTTATTGAGTTGATACAGATTGGTTAAAAATAAAATTAATATAGATTTACCCTTATACTTTTGTACAACCCAATGGGGCGAAGTTCAGACACGTAGAAAAAACTACCGTCTGTTCTACCACTTAACCTCTTCTCATTAGATTTTATACATTATAGAACTGTAATGGCAACAGATAAGCGGTTCATACCAACTAAAGCAAAAAATTGGGTAAATTTGAATGAGAAAAACATGAAATCAAAACCAAACTAAGAGAAATAAAAAAAAATAAATAAAAAAGAAAAATGATATGAAATGATTATGGTACGAAAGTGATACTAGGAGCTAACTAAATCATAACTGACTCAGATATAATATCTTTTTAAAACGATTATTAAACTGTTTTACTGTACAGTTTTTCAGTTCATACGCAAGGGAGTTATACAATTTAAAGACGTTGTACGTAAACGATCTTTGAAAGATAGTAGTGTAGTATCTAGGTGGTCTCAAAACATTTTTTTACCTAATATTTACGTTCTGTGCATCGCCACTGAACGCAATCCTGGAGTACAAGTACTGTGGAACTTTAGTAGTAATGATACGATGGTACAAGGTGGCAGCATGTAATAATCTTCTATTAGCCATGTTCAGCCATTTGACTTCAACTAACTTATTACTAATATGATCGTGCTTCCTTACACCAAAAATCAAACGAAGACAGGAATTTTGCATGCGTTGAATGCGTTTCATATCGCTGACATCTAAGCATGGGCCATACACAGTATCGCAGTGATTGAAATGCGATAAAACCAGTGCTTCGCATAAAATTGCTCTAATGCAGTGTTAGTGTTGGCCACATGACCACACTTTGTATAACAAAATTTTAGTTGAGAAAAATGTGTAATTAAAACTATCAGTCAGCATGTCGACATCGACAGCGTTTTTTTTGAAAAATTTCATCTGCACACGCGGTAAATTTGACATATTGGACCATTTTTTATACTTCTAAAGAAACTTATTAGGGGGTGCAAATTTTAGTTAACGCCGTGTATAAGGCGACATCTTGTTTGCGTCGAGTTGTTAGCAGAGGCTCTTACTCTGACGGGACTTGTTCTTCCATAAAAAGACATTATTTTAATACGCTAACAGTAAAACATGCCCGAGTTAAGCCACCCTAACGATACATACCTAGCTAAATGTGCCAAAGCGGTGACATTACATTTGATGCAAAATTTCATCGTGATCGGTCGATCCCTTCTCTTTTAAATCGATGGGCATGAAGCCAGAGAGCGAGCGATCGGACATTTGGGAGAAAGGAGAACCGTCTCGTTTAAAACACGACGCTAACATAATCATAATTTGGTTGATAATTTGGAGCAGTATTCGTACAGAAGTTGCATAAGGATCTTCAGTGTTAAAGAAGATCGTAAATCGTAATGAAATAATTATGGACAAGGTCGAAAGTATCCTTAATCAATTGCATATAAATGTGGGTAAAAATCATATAGACTATAGAATTTCGCGATACGTAGGACACCTATTCTTTTTTAATGGTTCCTGCCTGTATGCATCTAATATGTGTTGGTGATTTTAACATATATTTATCGGATGAGAACAACTAATCTCTAATGTTTTCAGACTTGCCAAATACCTGTGGTTGTATGCAGATATTCACAGAACCTACTAGGTCCTAGGATCTTTTAAAGGAGTATGTGAGTATGTCAAGGTTAGACAAAATTATAACCCCCGATGTATAGCCCGGTGGTGTGTGAGGATGGGTGTGTGTGCCAATTTTTATTTCCTTTAGAAGGATAAGATGAGATCAACATGATTTTGTGTCACAATGATTAGGTCTTTAATTTTGTTTAAATAACCACTTTGTTTATTTTGGCTTGTAATTATTGTAAAGTTGAATTACATAAGTTTATTTGTAAGAAAAATTGCAATAACAATTATTTACGCGTCAATGATAAAAATAATATATAAATATAACATATAAATATCACACACACACACAGACACACAAGTAATTACAAGGAAGACGAATACATAGCAGCAACAAATTCACGCTCACAGTACATGACTCCATCCAACAAGAATGCCTTAATCCTGTTTTGAAATTGGCCAAGGTTTAGGCCAATTTGCAATTGATTGATTGATAGTAAAGTTTGTTATAGAAGAAAGTTAGATAGTGCTCTAAAAAAGATTTTATGAATTCGTCGTTGTCACATCAAATCCTGCCAAAATCGTTATTCATGCACCAAGAGCCTTGGGAAAAAGACTAAGAGCCTTCTCCCAATACCCAAAACATGTAATTTGATGCATTTTTGTTGCCCATATGCACTTTGATCAATATACATGTAAAACTCGTTATTCTTGCACCAAAATCGTTGGAACAAAGACCAAGAACATAATCGATACGGACAGTACTATTATAAATTTTTCGAAATACTGAATGGTTTTGTGTTATTCAATGTCCACCCTTCTGCCCGTAAGACACTGTAACACGGCTTAAAAACGTTGTATCATTCTACATTTTGTATCCTTTATAACCTATATCGATTGAAGCGTATGGTCGTGAAAAAAGTAATGGTAATATTTAATCTATGGTAATACTGAGGATCCTCCGATACTCCGTTGTATCGGTTTACTTATAATTGCGGATATGAGGTAATGATATTGGCGTTGCCTTTTAAAGACATTTGTTCCTTAATAAAATTTTTAGCACAACCCAAATCATATACGAGCTTTTGGTATTTTATTTAAACTGAAGATCGGAAGGTACGTGCCAAATTTCGTCTCCATCGGAATATTGACTTTTCTGGGACGTAGGTGATGCTCTGTCATTGCTTGGGATCCCGGCAGACCTCTTAAAATCGTCAGATATTCCTTGAAATCCCCGAAATTTTATACCAAAATCTAAGAGATTTACAATTCTCATTCTGCAAGAGCACTTGCAAATTACGGGTACCGAGTTTGAAAATTGCACCAATTTACTAGTCCCAATGCAGTTAATGAAATAGTACTGTAGCGGATATTAAATTAATTCGACAAATTATTATGTTGTGTAATGTATAGGTACCTATTTATCGTACACTTTTCTATAATATTTATTATGAAGAAAAAAATACCATTACATCTTAAATAATTAGATCTTGTGGATACGTCTTAAAACGCTTGCATATAGGATAAATAACTTCTGAGATAACCCAATAATCTTACTTGTGTGAAAACAACAAATTTGTACCTTCCAACCTACACAGTTGATTAAAGGTAACTAACTCACACATACTCATTTAGGTCCAAATCACACCGCGAACCGTTTATAAGAGCCAATTAAAGTTTTTCCTCTACCAACAGTAAACAGATTCTGTTTGCTAAATGATTAATTAGTAAATGTATAGTTCAAATTTGTTCGATTGATTATCGACATATCGTAACTATACTATACATACAAGCCACATAGATATTTGAAGTGTCCGTAACAGATTTATCATCAAGGAAAGCATTACCTTCTTATTCGCGTAGAAGGCGTTTGTTTTGGTTTATTTGAATGTATCGTATTTTAGAGAGGCTAAGTACACAAAAACCGGGAATAACAATAAAAGGGCCATTACATTAAAAATAAAGTATATTTGACTGCGTTTACTTGTTCCGATCACATATGGGACTGTGAAAAAAAGCTTACGTATCTCCTCTGAAAAAGAAGTACATATTTTATATTGCGGAAATCTGTAAGGATGAATAATTTGCTTGAACCCTTTGTTACGGGTAGGACATCCCTCCACTGAAACCCGCCTATCCAGACCTAACAACTCCGCCTACATCGTAATTTGGACGTCGCGGCGCATTTTCTAATACGAAGGCGCAAGCGTGATTAGGAAAATTTACAAATTTTTTAAGAAAGATCGGACTGTAGAAATTAAGTAAAAGCGCGATTTTGATTTCCAGAAGTTTGCTGATAACAGTGAAGTAGGTGGATAAGTTCTTTGGAGATTTGGACTCTAGTGGAAGTCGTTGTGGCAGCCAGCAAAAAATCGTTTTATGCCTGGTTGGTTAGTGGGCAGGCCAATTCATTAAGAAATTGATGGTTTTTTTTAACAATCTTTGGACACCAACACAAACAGGAAGGGGTGGCCCGTAGTTAACCTCAGAACTGATGCGCGGCGTTTTAGAGCTACTGGAGTTAGTTGGAAACGGGAGTTTGCGTGTAGTGTTATACTGCCGCTTTGCGTTCCACGCGTTCAGTCACGTTGTCACCGCGATATAATGTGCTGATTCGGGGGAGTTATCGTTTTGAGAGAAAAATTTAATGACGATGGACTTTCAGAGTGCCATGGAGACCTTTGCAGAGGCTTGGGTCGCCGCCAATACTAAAAGTGCGCCACTATCAGATGTCAACGTGCAGGTATACTACTTTTTAAAAAAATGTCACTCATTAGCACTACAGGTGTAAAGCAAGTGTTGGTACAGTGATTAGCTTCCGGGGTTGTTCTATAAAAATTATTGCTTTCGGATTAGTTTTTCTATAAGATTATTATATATAAATGGCATTTCAACCAACTGGGGTTCTAATTCGAAATAGACTCACAAGCTTGCTGGAAATCTGATCCGCGCATTCAGAGTTAATCCAGGGTAGTAAATCCGGGATCAGCTGTATATGTAGAGAAGAGGAGAGTAATGAACGAAATCGATTAGATTGGACGTCTAGCATACATATCGTCTCGTAGAAATAATTTCAAATGAGTGCATAATTTTTTCGGTGAATAATTAATTCTTCACTTTGATCGGTGGCGATTGTTTTGTAATGTAATCCAGAACGAAGTACGCTGTTAAAATTACAAGCACGTTCAATAACATGCCCAATTTTAAATATCGAATTGCGATGATTGGCAACGGTCGTATAAAACGTTTGTACAAAGTGCAAGAAAAAACCTTTAATACCATTACGTTCCAACCTGTTCTAGCTTTGATTTTTATTATACTCATCTATCCACTACAAAATTGGTGCACACCGCCCGTAATTTTTTATTACAATGCTCCATTACGTGCGTATTATTTGTTTTATTTGTACGTGGAGAAATGGAGCAGGATTATATGTAGTTGGATTAAATGACCCACATCGCATCCCCTAAAATTTAGTACACGTTCGTCTCAAGTAGTATGTGCGAATTCTGCTACTGCATGCCATACGAAACTGATTTCGATATCTTTGTAATTAAATGTTTGCTTAGGTAGATTATTAAAAAAATGTTCATGATTTACAAAATTCAAACTCAAAACTACTAAGGCTCAATGGTGCTAATATTTAGCAGTTTTTTTTTGTTTATAAATAGCAGCTACCAGATGAACGCCGAAACGTATTTATCGTAGGGAAGCAATCCTACTTGTATTTATCATTACTTCCTTTCCTTGCAAAGGCTTATGTGATACATAAACATAAACTTTAGTTACATTTCACAGAGATCGGCAAGTGCTCCTAATTTTTTACATTTACCGCAGGTTTGTCCTCCATTGTATACCACTATATTTTTGTAATCGGAAGTCGACACAGGTACTTGAATATCCCCCGCCGGCGCCGTTATAAAAAAAAACCTTACACGTGAAATGATGCTTATGCAGTATGCACCTTGTTCTAAGTAGAGTAGACGCATCAGGGTACATGCTCCTTTTATTTCCTTAGTCCGACGCAGGGCGCTAAACTAACTAATTTGGAAACAGCCCTCCTAAATACGGTCTGACGAACCTTTTAAATCTGTCTGCACACACGGAATCGCATTTACGTGCTTACCCTTGAGAGAGATGAGTATGCATGTAAAATTCCAATAAATTACATTAATTGAAACTGGAACAAGCTACGTGATCATTATCGAAATAATTGATTAATAATAGGTTATGATTCTATACCCGTATGTTTTCTATTTTATACGATGATTATATTAACCGAGATTTTTACATCCCCCTCTCTTTAACAGCATTTTTATGCTGTTCAATATCTTTACAGCACCATTTATAAAGTGAAGATTAGCACTAACTAAAAGTTAAAGTTTTTGACAGTTTTACAACTTTTGCCTAATGTACATTCGCAAAATTTTAACAAACTCATAGACCCCGTTTTGGCGAACATGTTTTTTTAGGACTTTAACTTTGACATTTTTTTTTCTCAGTTTTTTTGTAATAAAACCTGGCACAATTTTTGTAGGTTGTACGCAGAAAAGTAAGGGCTTTCGAATAACTTCATAAAAATTTTAGGTTGCTATTTAAAAAAAAGTTCGAGGCCGTTTCGGCAATCTAAATTTTTTTTCAAAAATTCGGCTCGATATTTTTCGTTTCAGTATGTCTAATATACATATCCAAAATTTGAACAAAATCCGTCGAGCCGTTACTTCGGAAAATTGCCAACGTACGCACGAACGTACGCACATACATACAGACGGAAAAAATGTTATGCTTTAAAAGTTGTTTAAAATGACCTAAAACGTCCGTATTTAATGAAATTTTAACATGTCCAAAAATGGTGATCGCAATAGCCACCTAGCGCAAACTAGGAAGCTAAAAATTTGTACATCAAGATTCTAAACAATGGAATATACTCTTCATTTGTTATGGTCCAGGCAACGTATAATATGTGTCTTTATAATGTGACCGTTGCCAGTGTTGGGTAAGATCCTTTAATTCTGGATCTAGATACAGATCCAGAGACATTTAAAAATCATGATCTAGATCCAGATCAGATCCACACTTAAGAAAGGATCTAGATTAAGATTTAAGATCCTCCCAAAATGATCTAGATCGTTTATAGATCCTTCATAGGCAATGATGATTTACATGGGCATATTTGTGTTTTGAATCACTATTCGGAAAACCTTTAGTCATCTCATTCCGTGTAACAGGCCCTTTCCAGGTTTTACTTTTATCTATGCAAAATTGGCAAAACAGCAAGAAAAATGAAACAGTCCTGCTTTGAAAATTATAATAACCACCTTATTATATCCTTTTAAAAATTCATATAATATATGTAAATTATTGCACTTCGGTTTTCGTGCTTTGAGGTCAAAGCCTGTTATCCTTTTATTGTTATAATGCTGACAGCAAGGCTCACAGACTAATAATCCTCGACCTGTACCCGCCGTAAAATACACGGATTGAGAAATTTCTGGAAAAAGTAGGTATAAGGGAGTAGATACATAAGTAAATTTGCATAAATACAAGAAAGTCTTATATTTAACGTTTACTTGTCGCATGTCGCTGAACTGAATTTCTTGTCGAAAAAATGGCATTACAAATCTCCCAATTTGCGACATATCGCCCAATCTGGTTCTAAATCTGCTTAGGGAATTACTATTTAAAGCAAAGTGGTGTGCTTACCTGCATATGTATTTCCGATAATTCAGGTAGGCCGGCGGCGGCATGCCCATGTATTAGTTCTATACTGTAAAGTGTAAACAGTTGCCGGATAATACCCTCTAAGCTAAACTACCCGTAATGCTAATGACTTCCTACGGTCTACCGTTACAGTACTGGAAAATGCAAAAACTTGAATGGAACTCATTTATTCTTTAAATGGAAACGATTTACACCGCCAATGTTAAATATTGCAAAAAACATTTTTTATGTAAATTAAAATTGATCTTTGGATCTACGAGTAGAAGATTGATTAAAATATAATCTAGATCCAGATACAAGATCATCACCAGATACTACCCAACACTACTGTTGATTCACTGTCCTTTGACGTTATCATCCTATTTATTGTGCGAGAAACGAGTGACAGCAATAGCGGTCTTGCTCTCCTGGAAACCCGGTACGTTTATAGCTAAAAATAAAATAACGGTTATGTTTTTAGAATAGACATCATCTACAATACTTGAAAGAGAAAGTACATACATAGAATTCGAAAAATTACAAAAAATTATTTATATAAATTTATTAAGCAAAAATGCTTTCTGGGGTCCCTATAGAACCCCACTCAGTATTAAACATAATCTATCAACGAAATAAAAATATTTGGAGTGCCATAAAAACAATCCCTGCAATATTGTTGATTACTATACATTATTTAAACATAACCCATCAAAGAAACATAATTATTGGTTATTACAGTAATGATGTCGTAATCACTGGAAACAGAAAAGCAGCCATGATTCCCCGCATGTTTTTTAAACTAATGTACTACATTTTTCGAAATTTTTGTTAGATCCTATCGAAAGTCCATTGCCTGTCCTTATTTTGACTGGCATTTGCCTATCCTTATTTTGACAGAATATATATCACAACGTGTGATTCTAGAATAAGTTTTCTGTGGTTATTATTCGTGTGCTCTCTGCATAAAATGATGATGAACATCTGTTTTACGGGTCAAAGATATTAGTTTCACAAATATAGAATCGGTAATTGCAAAAATAATCTCGAAAAATATTAACCAGTGTATCCATCGTGGAAAGAAGAATGCGTTTCCGAAATCTGCAAAATTATGTAAATATACGCATTCTTTAAATGCGTTATAAATTGCACATAGATAAAACACTTTAATTAATAGGCGAAATCTCTTGGGAGTGCAGTACCTATATGGTCGTTAGATAATTATGCCGTTAGTATCAATGTGTCAGTATTGTCAATAGACACCATGAGACTGTGGTTTGGAGTGATTGCAATTACTTTCAATTCTGATTAAGTTTATTTATAGCGTCAATAGTTGAATTATTTATCATCATGTAAAGAATATTAATAAATTTAGTTTCTTGTCTGGAAATCCACAAGATTAGTGCATTTTGCATGACTGTTAATTACAAATTAAGTTGAGCTAATGCAAATACTTGTGTTATTTAATAAACGATTAACTAAATGAGTGTTATAAATACCATTAGTCGCCAATAATGGATAACAGCAAGAGGATTAGTGTGGTGTAGTAGTGCCCAAAGCCCAAAGGTCTTTGTTGTGTTCGTGCTTGTTGAACAAAACTTTTACAAACGAATTAAATCGTGCTAACGTGGGTAAGAGTATATCATAATATAAATTCGACATCCTTTTCAAGATCCCAACGATTACTTTTCTTCACTCTCACATTTGTGTATGAGCTCATGAGTCCTTCTTCAGAACAAAACTGGGGAATCATTTTTAGTTGCCATCAGTTTTCAAATTTTGTGTGTAAAATTGTGTTGCCTTTTTGCAACGTTTATTGAAAGCGACGTTTTTTTTAAGTATATATACTTGAGCCTGCACATATACTACATTGCTACAGTCTTTTAGGAACAACTCCAAATTTGTATTTTTCAACAGTTTGAATTTCAGTCAAAATTTCTCTTTCATAATTTTCATGATTCTTCACGTACCATCGTCAAAACATCTAATTACAGAAAATAATGTTAATCGATTAGGTATATTTTTAGGGTCAAATTACATACGTCAGATGTTTGATTTAAATTATTGGCACTTAAAGTAAGTTTAATTTCTTTTTATACATATAACTACAAGTGTTAGTGAAATTTTTATTCGTTGATTCACAAAGTTGCCATTACTTATGTATCTAATTTATTATAGATTCCATAATGCTAAAACTGTAACAATATTAGGAATTAACCAATCGTTAAAAAATGTTTTATTAATTAACACTAGTAAATGTAGTGTGTGCAAAGAACTGGTATCGCCCTTTGACTAGGTCGGGGGTGCAGGACTTCAAAAGCTTTCAAATTGTGATTAGAAGACTATTGCTCGTTCAGAAAACAAAAATTTTAATTAGTACATTTAAGAACTTTCTCGATATTATTTATGATTTAGATTAGATCGATTAAAATGAAACCAAATGATACTTTTATTAAAAACTCCTGCAATCCCACTAAAGGGATGGGGACAATAATCAATTCACAACGAAATTGTATTATTGTACCTCAGTCCAATTTATCTTGCAATACATTTAATATTATGTATTTTGCTAATATCTATCTAATAATATAGTAGACAACATTTTAGCTAATTTACCTAGTAGGAACACCGACCCTATCAACTATTGTAAACTAGGCTCCTCTTATACGGCGTTTGATTTTGAAAATGTGTCCCACGTTGAAATTCGCGATTGCGGAACCAGTTTGAAAAATAGCCATTCTAGGGATATCTATGGTCTGAGCATTCAGTTAATTAAACGCAATATAAATTCGGTTGTCTAACCCCTAACACTAACTAAATTGGTCAATACCATCATTACGACAGGTATATTTCCAGATATACTAAAGGTGGCCTTAGTGCTTCCTCTCTCTAAGAAAGGTTCCAAAGATATCAATAATGTGAGTAACTACCGACCGATATCTATTTTGCCAATATTCAGTAAAGTCATAGAGAAGATCTATACAAACAGCTTATAAACTTTTTCGAAGTAAAAAACCTGTTCTATCGCCATCAATATGCTTTTAGGAAGGGAAAAAGTATTCACGTATTATTATTATTGGTCAGTTGTATCGTATTTTTTCTGTTTATTTAACTGCTACCCTTATTATTTGACTGCGTTGACAATGTATTCATAACTTCTATTTTCAGATTCCAGATTAATATTAATCGCCAGAAAAATCTAAAATACAGCAGATAAAGATAACGTCACGTTGCCAAGTACTTATTATTTATTACTATGAGGATTCTTTTCCACAAATTCCAAATCAATAGAATTTTCCAGTAAAAAGTGGTTTGAATAACAAACGAACGTATAGATGAATTATTAAATTGTATGTACTTAAGAATTACGAATATTAGGAAAAGGGAGGCCACAAACAAATATTTATGAGATTGTGTTAGAGGAAAGGACAGGGTAGTTCAAATTCGTAGCTCACTATTGGGATTAGCATAACGGTGAGAGATAAAGTGTAAATTAAATGGGGACAAAGTTGGCCATTTTTGTAGCTAAATAACGCATTTGAAATTTTTAAAAAGTAACTGAACCAAAAAACTGAAAATGTCAAATTTCGTTTTCATTTTCCCTAGCTTTAAACGAGCGGAAATGAACCGTTCTCGTTTACACCTTCTATGGGCACTTTTTTCGGAAAATCTGAAATGAAAGAATGAAAGAAAAATAATAACGTGTCACACTATACTTTTACATAAATTTAGAAGAAAAGTTTCAAAGTTAATCTAGTTACTCGTGGATAAAAGTAAAACATTTGATTTATGGGATTTATGGAATGCACCATAGTGTTAAGTAAAGGTTTCACGTATGGGTTTTTTTATTCTTATGTGCGGGCTGGAAAGTACGCCCAGGAAGTGGTTTTATTTATTTTACGAAAAAATATATTTATAGAATGTACCTACCTACCCTATTGTGATAGGTAAAGGTACCGTAAATGTTTCGCGTATAGGCTATTGTTTTCTTATGTAGGGGCTGAAAGGCAGCACTTCAAGTCCCTCCATGAAATGGTCCATGGTAGGTACAATAAATGTTTCGCATATGAACTATATTATCGTTCTATGTAGGGATCAGCGGGACATGTCCACAGGCCTCTCTCTAAACGATATTTTGTTAATAACAATAAGTACACAGATTAGAAGAATATATTTTCCGTAGAAATTTGGATTGGAATTTTTGTGTAATCTATGGTACTTATTTTGTTTTATTACCGTTTTCGAGATCCCAGTGGTGTTGCCATCACCCTATATGTATAACTGCAGTTCTTAAATATTAAATAGTGTTTACTTTTGTGAATTCAGTGCTACATATGGTAGGTTTTCATCACCTTTAAACATATACTTGAAAACAAGGCAAGTCTAGAAGCTAGGTGACAATTGTGAAACCAAAAAGGAGCTAGTGTAGAAAAAGGTTTATGGGGCGAAATTTTTAGGTTTATTGAAATTTATGAACCGTTCATTTTCTATATTTTTAATCAAGTTAGTTTTATTGACCACTCAACGGTAAAGTCAAAGTTGATTTACTGCTCTTGTGTACGATGTATAAAATATAGGTCTCGTAAAACTATGGCGACCCACCTTTGTAAATCGACAAAATAAATATTAGTTCTAATTAGAATTTGAAGCTTAATAACACTCGGCAGCGACACGCACTCGCTAATTTCATTAATCTCGTATTATACGGATGATCTATATATTAATTAACGTTTGTATGAATAGAACAGAAACTTGAGTTAAGCATTTAGTTCCTAATAGGGTAATCCCTAATTTATAAACGTATACTTAAGCATCCTTTTAATCATATGAAAGTACTACCACAAGTTGCGGGATTTAATAAAATTGCCATTTGCAGTGCATTTTGCTTTTTTACTAATTGAAAGATGTATCTTATTTCAAAGGTTGATTATTGAATTTTGGGTACCTATAACAATGTCGTTAAGCAGAATCTAAGAGAGCTTGAATATAGATGGTTTGTATAGATGCTTGTTATTTTCGGATTAAGAAAATTATGAGTCATCCAGTTTATACTGTTGTATAGATCTTCTTATATATCTAATTCGGGTACTTCAAAGAGTGTATCACGAGGAAGGGAGAATACAGAAATATGTAGCGATAGGGTTATTCCGGGGCCTCTCGTCTCGTAAAGACCGCGAATTAGGACCCGTCGAATGTCTGATAACTATTGCGTTCAGGAATTCTGTCGCTTTTTGACCCCACTTAACCCAGATTAAACGCGCTGGCAACAGAACTGACCAGTCAACTGGTCGAGATTTGTAATTTGTCTGTTACGTGAGTGAAACGTATTTTATGTATTTGCAGAGTCAGGCTATGGCCTTGACAAGGGGTTGCAGAACGCCACCTTCGGTATCTACACCGGCAGCTGCAGGGGGTTCCAACCGGGACTCCGCCGAGAGAGCCTGTACTCCTGCTGCTCCTCGTTCTGCAGCGTCTCTCGATTCAGTTGTGTCTGCCCCCTCTATCAAGGACGAATTCGATCACCCAAAGTCTACTCCCGGTAAGTCTATTCATATTTATATCCTTTTTTAACGAGCGTTTAAATGTAACCGCGTATAAAAGAACGAGCGTCGACGGCAGCGGCGGCGAGTTTCGTTTACGCGCCCGTCACCGGAATGGTAATCTGGTCTTGCTCATCCGTCCCCGCACCCTGTCGGATTGAAACGGATTGCGCGGCGTTAAGCAGATTATCTTCTCATGATTGATGAAACGGCTGTATCCTGGTACACCCCGACTCGAAAACATTCACCGACCGAGGCAGGTATCCATTCAGGCGTCCATATGGCATGTAGATATTCCAACGTGATAGTATACTGATGGCGGGTTGGTTAAAGCTGGATTAAGCCAAAGGTACGGAATTAGGGGAAGCAAGGATTAGAGGGACTCTGGCCTGTTCGGAGACGGGAAGCAGAGGATTAGGCAGAGTCGGGATTAACATTCACGAGGGATCAAATATGAAAAGAAAAATTGAAAATACTACAAAACTTTCATTTGGATGTGGAGGATAATCCAAGTCGATGACAAATTATTTACGAATTAACGCGTTATTTTAGTAATCACCGCAGTCTCTGTTAATGTTTGTTGCCAAACATCGACAATGACAAAAACCTAATTGCATTCATTCACTTTTATTATTAGATCACAGATGCATCCTTATGAATTACCCATTTATAAAGTAGGTTAAATTTTTATTACAATCTCGTTGCCCTGTTGCGATTTGCCGCTAATTTTCTCCACCAGTTTTAGAACACGTGGAATCGTGTAGGAGAAACTTCAGTTGAGCCTCACCCTAATTGTTTACTAAAAGAAATTTGAATACTTACAGACGTTTATCAGCAAGCTGTAACAGTTGCTATCAGCAGGTTAACAATTTCGGTAAGACAACAGAGAGGCAACGTTCGGATGACACCGAATATTTTGTTTAAGAAATTTTCTAATCAGTAGTAGTTTGATATTTGTTACTGAAGCATACCTACAGCTATCTGAACCTGGGTGGCAATTTCGAGTCTTCTGTAATTGTTTAGTACAAAAATGCTTTCTCCCTTTTCCACCAGCAAAAATAGCATCCTTCGCGTACAGATTTCTTGAAGAAATTTGCAGCTATTTTTTCCAGTTATAGGCAGTTGATGTAATAAACTAGTCCAATTTTTTAAATTCTATGAAGCACTGGAATGAAGCGAAAAAAATATTTTCCATTCATGTTTATTTTAGAAATTGACCGATTTCTGAATTTAATCTCCTTTGGTTCGATAAATGTTTAATAATTCCGATTCTGATATGCGTTTCCGCCGCTTACGATAAATTCTCCCCGGAAAACTCGGCTCTGTAAACTGCCCCTAAAAAATTCGCCCCGTAAAAATCGCCCCCAAGGAAACTTGCCCCGGGAAGATTCGCACCGGAATATTTGTCCGCGGAAAATTCGTCCCTTGAAGTTTAACTTTTGGAAATGTCCGTTTCTTACAGACCTTTTATACACATATATATGTAGGCATCATTTTTCTGGAATCAATTATTCAAGTCCAATTTAGGGTGCTTAGTGCATAGGTCAAATGTTGCCATCGATATCACATTTACACATATCAACCCTTAAATAAGGCCAACCAAATGTATACACATAGGCTTGTTTTTTTTTAAATAATTCTTAAAGACCCGTAATAGTAACCGAAAAGTACAATTTAGGGGTGTATGAACACTATAATTATTCGAATGTTGCGATTGTTAAGACTTTCTTTTAGTGTATCAAGCTTTTCCACGAGATCCAGATAATTTAAATCGAATGAAAAGTTTTTGACGTAAGATGCATTTAGTGTATCGTCATTGGTATAAGCCCAGATCAATGTTTTGCAGTGTTTTATGCCGACACTCCGTTTAGAAAATTTGAAAAATCGGGCCCGATCAAAAGTTATTTAATAAAAAATTGAAAAGTTTCGATTTCCAAAAAATATCTGTATCCGTATAATAAAAAATAGTTCTAAGTGAACACATTAAAAAAAATCAATATCGTAAGTTTTTTTAATTATTATTTTTTTAGATGCAGGTTAAAAAGTGTCTTATTTTTTGTTTAAACAATGATCTACCTATAATCGACTAAATAATAATTAATTATTCTATATGGTACCTGTTTAACAAAAAAAAAGTTGATATTCATAACGTTTGTAACAGTCCTATCGAAACGAAACATGTTCGTATCAAACGGGATTTTTTTTAATTTGGCGGTTTTCAGTTTTTTTTTCGCAAGCGCAATCGTTTTTATACACTCTGTAAAAGTCTCCGTAAAAGTTATTGGTAACTTATGCCTAGTATATCGGTTCTTAAATGAATTGGAAAGGTTTAACTATTAACATAAATAAACAGTTATCTGCATTGGGGGATGAATATAATTTCCTTGACTACGAGATCACATGATCCTGTTCGACAACTTATTTTTACCACCCGTACGTTAGTAAGGATAAAAAATCCCCCCCCCCCCACACTTTTTTGACACAACTACACGTTTTGAAGCACCAGGAACATTAAACAAAATCTCAATGATGCAGGTCTGCCTGTCGGTCTCTCGGTCTGCTGCTTGTATCCTCGTTTCCGGCTAAAAACTGTTTTTTTTATGTTTTTCCATATTATGGCTAAACTATTGTATCGTGTAAGTGGTATTTGTGCTCGCCACAGTAAATTTTTAAACATGGGGTACCGTTTATAATAAATAGTACCAAATAAAAATGTGAATAAAACAAACAGTATGAAATATATTATTCACACGTGTTTCGCACTTTTATAATCTAGAAAATATTTGCAAGTAACACAGTAGTTTATTATTTTCCGATGTAGAATAAGAATATTCTATTTGAAAAAATTAAGTTGCCCTACACTTTACTGGAACTGGTAGTCCAAAAGAAATGACTACTCCAAAACTTGGCTCGTTAATCAGTGGGTTACTAGGTATTTGAAAAAAATCCGGCCCGTTATTTTTTGTTTCCGTATGCCTAATAGTCTAGGCGATAGAGACTGTAAAATTGGCAAACTGGACATTTTGAGGTGGAAAAGAAAAAATGGTGGAATATGTTCAGTTAGGTGTCAAAAACAACATATTAAAAATCCCACCCTCCAGACCCTGTGCTAAAGGCTCCAGCCACCCCACCATCCCCCAAAAACCGTGTTTTCGCTCTTTTTGGCTGATATCTCGCGATCTATGAGGTCTATATGAAATATTTTTAGCTGAAAATATTTCTCGGGAAATTTTATACAAGGTAGATATTCAGAAGTTAGCCTAGGTGTACCTCTTAGCCTAGGAAATTCATAAAAGAGGCGAAAATCATCAATTTTCGTGGCTTTTTGCTAATATATCGCGACCTTTAGGGCTAGATGAAATATTTTTAGCTGAAAATGCTCCTCGTGAAATTTTTTACAAGGTAGATACTCAGAAGTTAGCCTAGGTGTACCTCTTAGCCTAGAAAATTCATAAAAGGAAGCGAAAATCATCATTTTCGTGTTTTTTTTTGCGGTTTTTTGCAAAAATATCGCGACCGTCAGGGCTAGATGAAATATGTTTAGCTGAAAATGCTCTTCGTGCAATTTCATACGAGATAGGTAACTGAAGAGTTGGCGTAGTCACCTTCAACTTTCATGTGTGAGGAAATATTCATTGTAAAACAAAGTATTTCTATGTAGGTACCATTTATTCACGTAAAAACAGTATTTTCATATTAAAATATTCACACATTCATTTATACCTCAACGTAATCATTATCCTTATACTTATCCAAATCAATTCGTACTTTTTCGATCAGACTTATTAATCAAAAGTTATAGACTAGAAACCAATTTGAAAATAAATTCAAAGGGCTGTAACTTTTGAACTAGTAGCCGAATCTTGGAATTGTTTGAAATTATGGATTCTACAGGCCACATTCTATAAGAAAATTTTTTTTCTGGGTCGATCTGAGACAATTTTTTTTCGGGGTTCCAAAAAGGCAATGTATTACCTTCCTTTTTTACCAAAAATCGACTACACTAAAATTTCTCGGGAAAACACTTTTTCCTATTAATTTGGGTGCGTAGAATCCAAATCAATTCGTACTTTTTCGATCAGACTTCTCAATCAAAAGTTATAGACTAGAAACCAATTTGAAAAAAATTCAAAGGGCTGTAACTTTTGAACTAGTAGCCCAATCTTGGAACTGTTTGAAATTATGGATTCTACAGGCCACATTCTATAAGAAAATTTTTTTTTCCGGGTCGATCTGAGACAATTTTTTTTTCGGGGCTCAAAAAAAGGCAGTGTATAACCTTCCTTTTTTACCAAAAATCGACTACACCAAAATTTCTCGGGAAAACACTTTTTCTTATTAATTTGGGTGCGTAGAATCCAAATCAATTCGTACTTTTTCGATCAGACTTCTCAATCAAAAGTTATAGACTAGATGCGGATTCCACTTCTTCAGGCTCTTCGACGTCCTCTAGTGGTAGTGGGACCCACTAGCACTAGAGGACGTCGAAGAGCCTGAAGAAGTGGAATCTGCAGAGGATAATGATTACGTTGAGGTATAAATGAATGTGTGAATATTTTAATATGAAAATACTGTTTTTACGTGAATAAATGGTACATAGAAATACTTTGTTTTACAATGAATATTTCCGCACACATGAAAGTTGAAGGTGAAATGTGACTTTACGCCAACTCTTCAGTTACCTATCTCGTATGAAATTGCACGAAGAGCATTTTCAGCTAAACATATTTCTTCTAGCCCTGAAGGTCGCGATATATTTGCAAATAACCGCAAAAAAAAACATGAAAATGATGATTTTCGCCTCCTTTTATGAATTTCCTAGGCTAAAAGGTATTAACCTAGGCTAATTTCTGAGTATCTACCTTGTAAGAGATTTCACGAGGAGCATTTTCAGCTAAAAATATTTCATTCAGCCCTAAAGGTCACAATATATTTGCAAAAAGCCACGAAAATTGATGATTTTCGCCCCTTTTATGAATGTCCTAGGCTAAGAGGTACA